GAAGGAAGGTTGGGCAATCCTACTTCCGTAGTGATACTGCCTCGGAGACCCAAGGAGGGGTCGCTATTAGTCAGGGCTGACTCGACGGCAAATAACAACAACAATATATATATATATATATATATATATCCTGTTATTGTTGTTACTTACCATCAAGTTGGCTCCAACTCATGGTGATCCCATGTACAGAAGAGAGAAGTGCTGTCCACTCCAATGCCATCCTCACAATCACCAGCATGCTCGACTCCATGGTTCCCTTCTAACTTAGGGGGCACATCTTCCAGGACTATATTGGATAATATTCTATTGTGACCCATAGGGTTTTCATTTGCTAATGTTTGGAAGTAGATCACTAGGCCTTTCTTCCTACTCTGTCTTAGTCTGGAAGCTCAACTGAAATCTGTCCAGTATGGTGATCCTTTGAGTATTATATTTCCTGGTTCAAATTTTGTTTCCTTAGCCCTTATCATTGTGTAATGTGCTATATATTTTATTTATCTTATTTATTGGCTACCTACACTCACTAGAATATAAACTCCATGAAGATAGTTTTGTTCACAGATACTTTATTCATCCAGCACTTAGAACAGAATCTAGCATAGAATAGGTGTTAAATTAATATTTATTGAGTGGAAAATGAATAACTATTCATGTTACACAATTCACAGTGGAATCTAATGATGACTGTGAATCACTAACATCTAGTATTTGAGGGTCAGAGATGCTGCTGAACATCTAACAATATATTGGACTGAGAAAGAATTGCCCTGTCCAAAAAGTGTTTAGAGTGCACAAAATGTCAAGAGTTTCCCCATTAAGAGAAACTGCTGGAGGGAAGACAATGGAATGGCACAGATCTACTACTGATTTAAGATTCTGCATACAGTGAGGACTATTAAATAATTAATGAAAAATAAAGTATTCATTAACAAATACTGTAAAAATTAATGAGGAATTTCTTAAATAAAATATGAAGTTCCATTTTTGTGGGTACTAATTCAAACATAACATGATAGAAAGAACTACATTTAATAAAAATTTAAAGACACTCACGAGTGAAATGTGTCATTGCTTTGTTGTTCACAGAAGATGCCTACGCAGTCCTTTTGCTCTTTTGGAGTATAGCCTTTATCATATAGTTGTGTCAATCCAATTGTGAAAGAAAACAAAACAAGAAGGAACATCCCAAGAAATTTTCCAAAATCTTGTAACATTTGTCCCATTGAAATCTGCAGAATGTATTAATGACATAAGATGTTCATCAAAATTATCAAGAAAGGCGAAATATTAAATGACATGGCAAAAAAAGAGGAAGTCAAACACATTACTCATAGGCTACCCCTTTTATTCTATCAGATTGAGATACTTGAGACTTTTAAAATATCAAAAATCCAGGTGCCTCTGGAAGCGTAGTGCCTAAGGCACTTAATGCTAACCAGAAGGCTGGCGGTTCAAACCTACCAGTCACTCCTCGGAAGGAAGATGGGGCAATCTACTTCCGT